CGGGGTCCGGATGCCCCTGTTGCCGAAGGTCTAGATTAGATACAGGCGTGGCGGTACGCGAAACGGAGCGGGAAGAAATGGCCATGTATCATACGTAGGTGGCAGGAAACATAGAAAAAAACAGCGGTCTGTTATAGCAAAAAACGCCGAGTGGCTTCAAACCCAAGCAAGAAGAGATGCAAGGCTCGTTATCGAATTTGATCCTCAGCCTCAAACATCCAGTTGTCGTCCGCGAGAGCCGCAACCTTGGCGCGTAGACTGGCCCTCACGGCCTCTAGCAGCTCTGCAAACAAGGTCAGCCCAACGCGACGGCGAGCAATGGTCAAGCCCACTCACCCTCGGGTTGATCCGGCACCGTGCTATGGTTGATGCTGTGATGCTTCACCGCCTCTGCCAGTCTCTGTCGCTCCTCTAAAAGAAAACTCATTAGCCTACACGATCGTAGCGCACTCCCCCCCCTTCCCTGGAGACGTACTCTCGCTCTCGTCCCGGTCCTCGGGCTCGTCCGTCTCCAGGATGGGCGTCGGCGGATCGCCCAGCTCAATCTCGCCCTGCTGGTTCCTCACCACAATCTCGCCACTGTCCGAGAGCACTTCCACGTCGAGGCGCACCGTGTCCGCCGAGTTGGAGGAGCTCGCCGTTGGTCGTCGCGTGAGCTGGCTGCGGAAAAGATTGGGTCGAACGGCCGACGCAACGGCTCCTGGTGGCGCCCGGGGCCGGTGGGTGCCGCTTGTGGGGGGCTGGGCTCTTTGGCTCATGAGGCGATCTTTGCCAAGGGTGATTTGTATGAATATTCCGATATTGGTGTCGGCGCGATGCGAGTGACGGGTGGGAGGCTCGACTTGTGCAGCTTGTGTTTATTGCGGTGATGGAGTTGGCATGCAAGGCGGGATGGAGGGGCGGCAAGGGAGGGGGGTCCGTGGGTGATTGGCATGGGTGCCTAGGCGACGGGTAGATTGCCCGTCACGGCTCTGTAGGCTGACATTGGATGCGGAAGATGGCAATGAGTACGACTGGGTTGGTTGTTAGTCTTTTGCGAGCCCGATTCAGACGTTGACATGAATAGAATGCATGGCCGGTAAACAACGACGCGCGGCGACATTTGTAGGTCTGCGGTTAGCGTGGTAGCCTACACCAGGACCATGGGGGTCATAAAGTCATGGGATATCAATTTCAAGTCTCCGCCAACAAGAACTAGTTGAAGTAGGAAACAGCGCTGCTACCAGTGTACACATCCAAACCGTTTCATCCTGCACTTGGACAAGACCAAACCTTCCCATCACGTCCCGAATTTATGCTCCCGGCCCATTCGCCCAGCATCCTCGGCCCCAGCTCGCATTTTTTATATCGATAGATTGTAAGAGTACTCATCCTCCATGTTCTGGCTGACCCAGAGAACAACGGAGCTGCACACCATTAGTACCTTTGATGCACGAGCACGAGACGAGAGACGTACCTGAACCCAACCAGCGCATTGCTCACGATATTCTCAATGCCCATCCCCAGCGCAGGCATAGACACACCAGGCACCACAAACTTGAGCACAAAGACCGTCACGCCACCAGCCATGCCGCCTGCGAGGGCGGCAAACCCCAGGAAAAGCACCACCCGAGCCTTCCACGCCACCCCAGATCCGCTATAGCTGAAGGAGTCGGCGCTCAGACGTGTCTTCTCAACAGAGTTGATGATGAGCATGCCGAGGCTGGAAAAGACAAGCGGGAGCCAGTCGACAAACTTGATGTGGACGTTGGAGCCGTTGCGGGCGGATTTAGACCATACGGCCGAGTCGAGCATGACGTAGAATGCGAGCGAAAACTGCCACGGCCATCGGATCAGTCGCGAATTACCAAAACGGCGTAGACGAGGGAATAGACGTAGAGGGAAAAAAAATCTTGCATCCTCAGCATAGTAGTCGCTGGCAACTTACCAGAGCTCCTGCAGCGTAGACGCCCGTGTTTCGTGCCCAGACACTGTTCAGCCACTCGGGCTTTCGGAACTTCCAAAGACGTTCTTCCGCCATGATGCAAATGCGTCCACGTAGATCGGTTTGAATCCACAGGTCTGTAGGTTCGAGACTCGGCGCCGGCCGGTGCTTGGTTGTGTCGAAATGGTGATGTCGTTGCTGGTTTGAAGCTGTGGCTGGCACTGGCGGAGCATGACGAGGCACAAAACGTCAGGGTCACGTGGGGACGTGACAGTGTCTGGGGATGCTCCTGTTTCCACCGACAACGCCGAGATCAAAGGGCCAAAAAAAAAGGAATTACAAATTAAAGAGCTCAGGCGCAAAAAATATATGACAGTTTTAGCTACTGATATCGCTTTCACTTTTTAATGCCATCTACAGTTTAAGCGTGGAATACCGCCATGTCTGGCCGAAGGCTGGCACTGTCGTGGAGAATCGTCGCTCGTGTTGCGGTTATACGAGATGATGATGGATCTCGGACTGCGCGGACTGTTTGCTTTGGCAAGCAGTTTCAGGGAGCCTGAATCGATACTCCTTACCATGCCCCTCTATCGATCGGTTCGCATCAGAAAATTTGACCAGTCGGGGGAATATGTTGGTATGAACATGTTCTTAATTCTGTATTATCCTTGGCACCCCATTCGTTTATTCAAATGTCAGGGAGATAAAAGTGGGACACTGCCCGCCCCTGCCCAGTGAGCACCCTGCGTGGACGGTGGAAGTGCGGCGGAGCCTCGCATGTACCTGCTGTCTGACGCATCTAAATTTTGATGGCTCCTGCCAGTGGCTCACTAGGACGGTACGTACCTCAAGGGGGAGCCGTCCAGACAACCCTGGAACTGGGGACGAAACAACACTGACCACCTGCACTGGCACTACTCAGCCGTCCAGCCGCACCGTCGAGCCCTTCTCTTCTTCTTTTTTCCTCCCATACCATCGCCATCGCCAGACCCAGCGTTATTTCTCCCGCTGGTGCTGTTCCTGGTGCTGCTACCAGCCGACATTCTTTTGCACCATCGCTACAATATACTGTTTTCTTTGGCCCTCTCCGACTGACTCGTCTTGCTTCGCTTCCCTTCGCTCCCGCCCTGCCGCGTTGCCATAGCCTTGGCTTTGTTAATTCTCACCGCCGACGACGTTCGCGAACCCCGACTGGACCCAGCCGGGCCCAACAATCGTAATATAGCCTCGTCCGCACATCGCATCGCCATCATGAGACCGGCCAACTATCTTCCGGGGCCCTCGGTGCTCCTTGCTGCTATTGCATTCGTTACCCCTGCAATCGGCCAGAAGGACACACCATCGAGCAAAGACGACAGCGCCTCGGCCACGCCGTCACCCAAGGACACTGGAAAGTCTACGCCGTCCCCATCTCCTAGCAGTAAAGAGGAACCGTCAAGCGAGACTCCATCGCCTTCGTCATCGGGCAAGGCCTCCATCTCCAACACCGGCACTCCTGTCACCACCGACCCTACTGGCAAGGCAGTCATCACTGGTGGCCCGTCCGCCACGACCGGTGGTGAACTGACGGGGTTTCCCACCTTGACCGGTCCTGGAGTGATTCCCTCATACCCACCCCCGAGTGTGCCACCGACGAACAATGCGCCCTTTATGCAGCAGTCCAGCCTTCCGGATGGGACCGTCTTCATTGCCGTCGGAGCCATCCTCGGCGCTCTGGGATTGGCGCTTCTTCTATGGCGCAGTATAGTCAGCCTCATGCTTCACAGATCCGTTGCGCGCGCAGCTATGGCCCAGCACAATGGCGACACCAAGACGGGCTTCCCTGCGCCTCCTGCTCCGTTCTACAAGTATTCTGACCATGCCTCGACCATGTCTGTGGGTGGCGGCGCCGGCGCTACCTCTGCTGCGTCTGCTGGTCGTGGAGTTCGTCGAACCAACCGCGGGCCTACTCCTTCCGCAACGCCAAGCCAGTCTAATTTATTCTTCTCTCCCACTGCTGGTACCGGCGCTTCAGCCAACCGCGCCTCAACGTTTCTGCCGTCTGGCTTCTACGCTGCTGGCACCAGTTTACCGGGAGGAGGAGGCAACCAGACTAATTCGATCAATCTGTCCAACCTTCGACCCGATTCGCGAGGCCACTACGCCAATGCCTCACGGAACACCATGGATATTTCACCTCCCGATTCTCCTGGAGTTGCGGCGCGCCGGGACATGAGCAGCAGCTCACTCAACCTCGCACCCGGTCAGCGTGCCCCGAGTGCCTACTTGGATGATTTGTTAACCGACGACCCCAATGCATTGCCGCCACCTCATATGCCTCCGTCGACGGGCCCACGTCGTTCCGTCAGTCCAGGCAACCGCTTTTGAAAAAGTCATTGACAGACCTGAATGGGACAAGGGCGAAGCGGAGTGAGGCGTTTACTTGGATAAGCAGCGTGTTTACTACATTGTTTATTTTTTATTTTTTGAGAGTTGCTCAAATTTGGATTTGTCAAATCAGGGCGTTGGGCATTGTTTCTTCACCTTGTTGTGTCAAGGGTTGTCGTGCATATAAATAAACTTGTAATAAGGGGTTCCGGAACGACAATCCATCTGGATCCGTCGTCCGAGAGGATGGAACAACATTGCCTGGGCGAGCTAAAGGAGCCATTAAGAGCATGAATTGTAAAGGTGATGCCGCAACTGGGGATGGCATGGTCTGCATGGCATAAAGAGGGGGTGCAAATCCGGTAACCTAGCCCATTTATGCTGTCCTAGTTACGCTTTTGAATAGTACATATTCTATATTTCACCCAGCGCACAATGCTGCCGTTTTTCGAGTGTCGTCGGATGTAGAGTTATTGCCAAGCCGGGCTTTACATGCATCACTTGTTTGGGGGAATACGGAAAACGACTTGTCGAATTCATATGAACTTTGTGGTATCGTGTGCGCCATAAAAAACCTAAATACAATCCTGGTGTGCTAAAACAGAAAAAGGTATATGCTCATGCACAACGCTCATCAAGTGTCTCGGTCGTGGACCAGTATGTCTACATATCCAGACGCCGCTTTGGGCGTTATTTATATACATTTATTTCAACTACTCGGCGCGGCTGCATCCAAGGCGGCCAGGCTATCCCTGGCGCCCTGGATATCCTCCAGCCGGATGCCGCTTCTGTGGCACATGCTTCTAAAGATGCCGCCCTGGTGCCAGAGCGCGAGGGGGGTGTCCATCTCGGCGATGTGGCCGGCGTCCATGACGCAGATGCGGTCGTAGCCGATGATGGTGCGCAGGCGGTGGGCGATGCAGAGGAGGGTCCTGCCCCGGAAGCCGGTGGCCATTGTGTTTTGGATCTTGTCGTCGGTCTCCATGTCGACGGACGAGGTGGCCTCGTCGCAGACGATGATCTGGGAGCCGCGGACGAGGGCGCGGGCGAGGGCCATGAGCTGGCGCTGGCCGAGGGAGAAGTTGAGCCCGTCCTCCTCGACGACGGAGTCGAGGCGGATGCGGGACGGGTCTGGCCTGCGGTCGTCGAGGGACGCGCCGGCCGGCACGAGGTGGGCCTGCCGCAGGGCCGACCACAGCGCCAGGTCGGCGTGCTCGCCAAAGGGGTCGAGGTTGCTGCGGACGGTGCCGCGGAAGAGCGTCGGGTCCTGCGGGATGATGGCCAGGCGCGAGCGCAGGTCGTACAGGCCCACGGTGGAGATGTTGACGCCGTCGACGGCGATGGTGCCGGCCGAGATCTCGACGAGCCGGAACAGCGTCGACATGATGGAGCTCTTGCCGGCGCCGGTGCGGCCCACGATGCCGACGCGCTCCCCGCCGCGGATGTGCATGCTCAGCCCTTGCAGGACGAGCGGCAGGCCCGGGCGGTACCGCATCTCGACGTCGCGGAAGACAATCTCGCCCTTCTCCGGCCAGGTGCTGCGCACGTCGACGGTGTGCAGCGGCGCCTCCTCGTCGAGCTGCGTGCCGTAGTGCTGCAGCCGCTCGACGGCGTTCATGCCGTTTTCCACCTCGGCCAGCTGCCGGATGGAAAACTGCAGCATCTGCACAATGGACAGGATGTAGCTGAGAACGAGGCCGCCGATGGAGGGGTTGACGCTGAACCGCGACGTCACGACCAAGATGGCCACGGTGAAGACGAGCGCGTTGCCCACCATGTCCAGCCGCACGGACAGCCACCTCTGGTTGGAAAAGGTGAGGTAGTAGGCGCTGTTCATTTCGTTGATGGAGGACCGGAGCTCGTTGATGAAGCGCGTCTTGAGGCCGTACGCTCTGATGGACGCCACGCCGCTGAGGCCCTCGCCGAACTTGGCAAAGACGTTGGATCGCAGCACGGACTCGAAGCGCTTTACTTCGCGTGCGGATGCTCTGTAGTATGACGCCGACAGAATAAAGAGGCAGTAGAGCGGGACAAGGGCAATGGCAAACCAGTAGAAGTAGGCTATGATAAGGGCGAAGACAGCCGTCACCATGGCGAGGGTGAAGAAGTACATGCGGATGGCATCCGTTAGGTTGTTGTCTGTGACATCCACGTCGCGGGAGAAGCGGTTGGTGATGCGCCCAAGGGGTGTCGTGTCGAAGAAGGACATGGGAGCCCGCAGCACGCGCTGCACCGCGTCTCGCAGCATCACCTTGCTCGAGTTGGTTCCCAGAACCGTCAACGTGACGGAGAAGGCAAACATGAGCAGGGCCTGGACAACACCCAGGGCAGCGTAGATGCCAATGTATTTCCCGGTAGAGTAGCCGAACTTGTCGGATGTCCACCACGACAGCCAAAGACCGGTGGCGATGTTGGCGCCTTGTGAGATGATGAGAATGGTGATGACGAGGGGGGCGTTTAAAATCGAGCCCGAAGCGCGCACGTATGCTCCGTAGACTGACCAGGGCACGCTCGATTCAGGCTTTTCTTCCTGCTGCATAAGCGCCGCTCCCTTTTTGTTCTGCTTGCGCTTCTTGCGCTCGTCGGCAAGATCAACGGGCGCCACGGCCTCGGGCTCCTCCTCCTTCTCCTCGACGGCCGTGGTCTCCATGAGAGTCTGGAAGCCTTGATGGTCCCTCATTAGGTTGTCAAAGGTGTCAATGGCCTGGATTTTGCCGCCGTCCATCCATATGATTCTGTCACATCGGCTAAGGACCCAAAGCTGATGCGTGGCCAGAATACGACACTTGTCTTTGAGGAGACCCAGGATGGCATGATCAAAGATGTGCCGGCCGACGTGGGCATCCACCGCGCTGAGGGGGTCGTCCATGATGACGATGTCTGCGTTGAAGTAGATGGCTCGAGCGATATTAAGTCTTTGCTTCTGGCCACCGGAGATGGTAATGCCTCGCTCGCCAATTTCGGTCTGGTCACCGTTGGGAAGCATGTCCAGATCTGCCTGGAGAGCACATCTAAGGTGGGGGGTTAGCTGTTGGTACACTAGAGGCAGACTTTGAAAAAAAAGAGAAAAGAAAAAATGTAAAAGTCACTAGGAATAACTTACGCTCGGACGACCTCACGGTACCAGTCACGGTCCATGTCCTTGCCAAAAGTAATATTGTTCTGGAGGGTCGTGTTTTGAATCCAGGCATACTGGGGGCAAAACGCCCGTGAAGCTCCGTATACGACGTCTCCATGAGTCTTTCGCATATCGCCTGCAAGAGCAGCAAGAAGAGAGCTTTTACCGCTGCCAACGGTTCCAATCACTGCCACAAGTTCATTGCGGTTAATCTGGAAGTTGAGGCCCTGAAGCTTGAACGGCTCCCGTTCCTCGACCAACGTGCTTGCTGAATCCTCCTCCGAGTTCTGTGACTTTACAGGTTTCGGCATACTTGTGCCCTCCTTGGTGCTGTCCTTTGCCCCCTTCTTCTCTTTCCCAGAGCCGGCGATGGTGCCCTTGTCCGGATCTTGCGTGGTCGTCCTCTCCCAGGTGAAAGCAGCGTCAATCATCTCGACGGCGTTGCTACCTTCGGGCCTGTAAACCACCTCCTCTTCTTGTTCCTCCTGCATCAGAAACTCCTCAATGCGCTTCATAGACGACCAGGCATCGGTGACTTGGCCCAGGACGAGGGGCAGCAGGTTGAGCGGGATGCGGAGACCGTTGAACAAGGCCAGAGACGAAAACACCTCGGCGGGGGCCAAGTCGTGGTTTGACAACGAGTACACGATGAAGGAAAGCATCGAGGCAAAAATGGGCAGCGACATGCTGACGGCATTGATGGCATTGCGAATGGCCAGCAGCACCTGGATGGAGTAAATCTCCTTGGCTCGGACCTCCCCAAGGCGGGCTATAAAGGCCTTTTCCCAGCCGAAATACTTGACAAAGCGGACGGACTGAAGAATCTCCTGGGTCAGAGAGACTCGCTGGTCGGTGATTTTGTTGATGGCTTTGCGCCGACGGAACAGGGATTGAATGGCCTTTGTGAGAGCGGGCACACCAACGACGAGCAGGGCAAAGCCAGCCAGTGCGCTATAGGTCAAGTTGACAAGAAGCAACACCAGGGTGATGAGACAAACAATAGGCGAGGTCCACATCATGTGGAAGAGGGCGGAAGCTTGATCAATGCGGTAGGTATCAACGCTCATCAAGTTGACAATGCGGCCGTTTGCCCAGCCGAGGCCGTCCTGCTGCGGCTTGCCCTTGTTCGCCTTGGCCTTGTTCTTTTTCTTCCCTGCACTCTTCTCATCAGTGGCAGTCTCTTTGCCCTTTTCCACCTTGTCTGCGTCGTCTGACTCGGGCATGATGGACGGCTTGACACCGCCGGCCTTGGCCCTGCCGGAAATCACCATGGCCTTTTCGTAAATGAAGCCAATGAGAACACCTCTGCTCTGGCCACCTATCATCATGCCCCGATATATAAAGTGACTGACACCGAATGCCTGGAAGATTTGCATGGCGGTCACACCGATGGCGAGGCCAATGCCATTCTTGATGGGGGGCGGAGGGCCGCCTCTGACGTTGGCGATGTATGCGTCTGTGGCGAACTGAATGAGGAAACGCAGGGTGAAGGGCGCAAGGACCTGCAGGATGGCGGTGATGAGGGCGCAGAGGCCGCCTAGCCAGAATTCAAACTTGAAGGTTTCGTGTAGGGCCCAGAACAGAGGGTTCGTTTCGCCATTTTTCACGCGGCGGTGGAAGGATTCTTGGACTTTTTGCGTGAGAGGTTCCACAGCCCGGTCGGGGTTCACCTGCCAAATATCGCCCTGTTCGAGTTGTCGTTTGTAGCCAGTCTATGCATAATGGGTCTGGTCAGCCAAAGAGAAATAACTGACGATATGGGCAACTTGTCACGAGCTGGTGGTGTAGGGACAAGGGGAGGGGGAGGGGGCTGGGATGTTCTTTTAGCGGCACGTGGTTGGCCGGGATGTCAGCTTGGCGACACCTTGGGGACACAATAGGGACAATGCCACGCTCGATGGGATTCCTATCTGGGGACAATCAAATGCCACAATGCGACTTACCGTCATCAGCGGCGTCATCCACTGAAAGGTCAACTTGCTGAAGAAGCCCGCCGTGTACTCGCGCGAGACGATTCGCTCCTTGGGGACGGGCGGAACGCCGCCCCATCGCAACGGGTTCACCTGTCTGTACCAAGGCCTGGCTTTCGTTGACGGCGGGCTAGTGGCATAGCTGGCGTCTGTCGCAACGCTCTTTGTGACGTCGAGGCGATGGGGGCTGGCCGCCATGGCAATGTCGTCTGTGTCGCCGTCGTGCTTTTCGCCCGTGGCAAGCTCTTTGTTGTCGGAATCGGATGGATCTGACGGCGCGTCATGTCGCTCCTCGTTGCTGGGCTGCATCGCCGCGGCCGCCGCGTCTGCAGACTTGAGCTCCAGCTCTTTTCCCTCTGGCGGGTCGGCCATTACGGCGAAATGCAGAACCGTTTTGCAGGCGCTCCGTGATTCCAGAAGGCCAGCAAGACAGATCCGCCAGATGATCCAAAGAAGGGTCCGCGACGGGGATTCGACTGGCTCTTGGGTTGCAAAGGAAAAAAGGAAAGGAAAGGAAAGGAAACGAAGGCAATGGCCACCCAGGTCACTCGCAAAATGGATCGGGCCTCGGGATTTGGCGATGCGCGACGCCCGACTAGTGTGCTGAGAAATAGACACTGGATGGAGGATCAAGGATGGAAATTCGAGAGATGGTGGAGCCGCTGGGGTGACGTTGAGATTTTGCTATTGCTGCTTTCCCGCGTTTCTCGTCGACTTATAACACTAGAGAGGGATTGTCTGAGAATACCCTCGGCAACTGACCAAACAAGCAAAATCCGCAGCCCTGCGGAGTTTACCAACTCGAGGGAAGACAAAACGGGAATGCTACGCTACATATGTACTCTATTCCACCAGCGTCGTCTCAACGCGGACAAGTCGAGAAGGCGTGAGCGGTGACCACGAGGCTGGACTATTGGAATGTCCACTGCTGGTGAGCGACGGTCCGGAAACACCATCCGGAAAGAAACTCTCTTTTGATGCTCCGGAGCTGCGCGAGGACTGCGCTCCTACAGGCCGAGATGGCACGATCCGTGTGCCATCCCTTGGCTTCTGTGATTACCTCGCAGCCTCGCAACTGGTCGAAACAATGGCCGTCCCCATAAATGGCCGTGTGGAGGGGAGGGGAGGGTCAAGGAACAACGAACTCGACTTCCCTGGCCGTGGGCACCAGGCGGCTCATCGGTGCCGGACCGGCCATCAATCCCTTCATCGCCATGAGCGCGACGAGGGCTGAGAACGGCCGTGTCCACACTTTGCTGCCGGCATCATGCCTGCGGCTGATGTACCCGACAACCAACAACTCGCAGCCATCGTTTCGTCCTCGTCTTCAAGGTCCATCTAAAGCAGGGCAATGTTGAATCGCCAAACATGCCCAAGTGGAGAGGGACAGATTGATGACAAACCAAACGCGCCGGTGCCAAAGTCCAGGCATCATTCTTCCGTAATTTCTGGATAAATGTACATGTAGCCACTGGCGGCGTGTCGCCCTCCACATGGTACGACGTTCTAGTACTTTATTTTAACTCCAGACGGAATTCCGGGCCTCTTCTGAAGGCGAAATCCGGCTCACCGTGGCCATCCTGGAGAAGCTACACAAGGAGGCGTACATGGATGTTTTGCATATGAAACCTACATGTACATACAGTATCTTAACTTGACCCATGATTTGCCTGCATTGGCGCGCACAGGCGGGCTTCCATTCGTCCCCTCCTCCGGGGCGGGATTCATCAATCATGTCGACTTCTATAAGCCAGTGTGGGCTGAGAGAATGTTACACCGCAAACAGCGACTATCGAAACTCGGCTAAATTGAAGTTTCTTTTGCGGATAGGACACAAAGGCAGCATATTTATAATACACGGGCGGGACGATTTCCTCGCGTCGGTCCCGACACTCCGTCTGGAACCGTCGGGACCGACCAGGCAATACCACAGGTGTCGACGATACTATGTTTTCCCTTCTCCATGGCGAGAGGTCTTTTCAGCGCGCTCAGCACATCGATTTCCAAATGGCCACATGCACGCTCGTAACCACAAGCGCTGGGCTCGCACGGCCGACATGGAACTGGCCAGAGCCTGCAATGCGAATATTGAATCAATACTGAATGATGCGCTGTCACTCCGCACGACGTAGTGCCAGCTGCCGCGGTGGAGCTCCATTCACTTAATGTTCAGATCTGCCCCACTATTAGCAGATTTCTCTACATCGACAGTGCCATCACGAAAGCTCCCGCCGCGCACCGCCTCGCGACTCCAAAAGCCATCGGCACCTCACGCAGCGCCGCACCCACGCCAGCCAGCTCCCACGCGCGTGCAAGCACAATCCCGCCATGGCCGCCGACGAGCTGCCGCCCGTCGCCGTCCCCGGGCACGTCCTCGGCCCTGCCTCGCGATACACGCCCGGCCCGGGCACGCACACGCACCAAGGCAACGTCGTCTCCTCGCTCCTCGGCAGAGTCCACGTCGCGGCGCCCGCCAAGGCCCCCGGCCCTGCGAAGCGGCTCAACAAGATCACCGCCGCGGCGCCGGAAGAGCTGCCCACCGTCTCCGTCGCCAGGCACGGCCGCAGGCGCGAGATCCTGCCCGACGTCAACAACGTGGTCCTGGCGCGGGTGGTGCGCCTGATGCCCAAGCAGGCCATTGTCGTGATTCAGCAGGTGGGCGATACCGTTCTCCAGACCGAGTGGCAGGGCGTGATTCGCGTCCAGGACGTGCGCGCCACGGAGAAGGACAAGGTCAAGATGTACGAGTCGTTTAAGCCGGGCGACATTGTCAAGGCCCAGGTGGTACGTTTGCTGATTTTGCGTCTCGATGGACTTGGAAGAATCGGGTGGCTGACTTGTTTGCGTGCAGATTTCGCTGGGAGACCAGGCGAATTATTACTTGTCCACTGCGTCCAACGAGCTGGGTGTCATTATGGCGGCGAGCGAGGCCGGCAACGACATGGTGCCCGTGAGCTGGAAGGAGTACCAGGATCCTGAGACGGGGTTGACCGAGCCGAGGAAGGTGGCGAAGCCTAGCTGAGGGGTTTGCGATGAAGAATACGGCTGGGATTGTACTGGGCTCAGCGGGAATACTTGACGTGCTATACGCCTGCGGCGGCTTTGGCCATGGTTGAGTCGCGTCCAGACTCTGCGTTTGTACGCTCCGCCGCCGCTTGACTCGACGATATGAGGCGATTGAGATGGGAGGCGGCGAATCGTGGAGCTGGCTGCCTTTATGGGGCGTACGGCGTGTCTGGGAGATCTGGCTCGTTTGCAGGGATGGCGTATCTTGCAAGGACACGCTGGTGCCATGGAACGAGGGTGCCAACTTTGCGCAGGCGCGTATATAAGTAAGATTGACGATTCAATATAGAAATATACCCTGGCTATAAGTGCCGAGACGTTGTATTGATCACGGACGAATTTGTTGGTGGTCCGGATATTGGTCCGCTGTGGAGGACAAGTATATTTGACTAGAGTACGGATCTAGCTATCGCGCTCTATACTGTGATATCCTTGCGCATATTGACGCCGAGTGCCGTCGGGTCATTTCAGAGACAGTCCAAATGGAAGCTGGGAATTGACGGTATCTCAGTCGAGATTGGGCAAGGGTTGTTTCCTGCCATGCAAACCCTGGCGGCAGGACGCGAGGTATAAACTGATTTCTCACGGTGAGAGGGAGACAGGGGAGAATGGACGACTGCTTTTCAGGTTGGCTAGCTAGCGTCTACTTTGGAGCTTACAAGTTTGGTTGACCCTAAGGGATGCAGGTCCGACCATTGACGTGTTGATAAAAGACATGGACCAAATAGGTAACTCGCTCGTTGACACAAGCCAACAAACTGGTGGTGTTTTCCGGCGTCGTGATTCAACCGGTTCAGCAGTCGAGTTCCACTGCCCATGGTCGGGGGAAATGCCTACATCTCGGCTCAAGACGCACCTCGATTCTCGACACAGAGCCAACGTGCAAGTAAATAAAAGGAGACCAAGGGAGAGGAACGTTTCACAGGATACACAGGAGGCAGCATGGATTACGCCGAGAGGCACGGGGTATCCGGACGACGTTGACGTGCTCCAATTCAAACGTACCAGAGCTAGAACTTTTCCAAGACCACCTACATGCACCATTTTATCATGCCCAGCCCAAGACGACATATGCCCAACTCCACAACCCATGATTGTTTATTCCCAGGAGACGGATTGCGCAGATCCACGCCGGGGTTTCTCACTGTAAACCCTGCCGGTCGTCAGCACCGCCAGCCAGACAACGGGACAATGAAAGCTTCTACCAACTCACCTATTCGCATTCTTGCCCTGCCCAGATCCATGCGATGAAATCGAATCGTCACTCGCAATGTCCATGTTTGCGATGCTATTCTGCGCCGCCAAGGAAAGTTCTAGAAAAACGTTTCAGCATTCAACCAGCGAGCATCCTAGGTGGAATCCAGTTCGTATACTCCCAACGTACTCTCGTCGATGCTGATTTCCTCCTCAATGTCCTCTCTGCTCCTGCGCCGCTGCCGAACCCGCTCCACCGTTCGTTTTATGTAGTAATCCATCTAGGCGAGTCGCGCGAAACAACCAGTAAAAGCAGAACCACGTACAAATCACAATAGAACAAATACAAAAATTCAACAGAGGAGGAATCTACAAGCAGCCCCGTCCTCTTTTATCCCCCCAGGTGCCGGTATTTACATTGTCTCTGGGCCGGAATTTCTCTGCCGCCCCTTGGCAAACCTTGAGTTCCGGACGGTTGGAGATCGCCCCCCCCCCCTCTTCTCGGCGGCAGGCCTTCCGAACCCGTTCTTTTTGGGTTTTGGGCGCCGCGTCGATCCCGGCATATCTGATACATGTCTGTTACAGAGCGCTTCCGCGGTCGTCAGGGTGGGACTTGTGCAGATCTGAGCCGTCCAAGCCACCGTATCTTGACAGGTGAGATTGAGATTGCGAGTGGAGGCCCCCGGCAGAAGGGTGGCTTTTGGAGTTTGCGGCATGTCGTCATGGCAGCTTGCGCCGAGACAAATGAAGTAATTGAGATGGCAGACTTGCCCATCGCGGCGCCATGTTGAGACACGGCCTGCGGGCAGTTATGCAGGCCATCGACGGCGGAGGTTGCTCGTCGTCGACGGGCTTGGGGGAAAAAAAGCAGAGGGTGAGGGCTTCAATGTTGGCAGGAGTCGGGAGTCGGGACCTGGTTGGAAGACTTCAAGTTGTGCGGCCCTGAACCCGTCGACGCCCGTGGGAGGCTTGTGCCGCAAGGTTTTGTGGCGGCCGATGACGGGTTTCAGGGCTGCGCGTCCCGCTGCGATAAGCTTCCGCCACTTGCTTCGCTTGTGAACACGACGTGGTTAAATACTGGACCCTGCTTTTCTGGCCTTTGGCTGATTTCGTCGGTGCGTGGCAAGGCAACGGAATGGGGCGGCGTGGCCGGACGGGAGACATGCACCACGACCAGACTGCATATCTGCGTCAACACGCAAGAGACGCATCGATGGCTCACGGTTAATGGCAAGACATGGACGGCGCGCAATCGAGCATGATTCTCGCCAAGGTCATTTGTAGCACTAGTTTGAAAACAAAGGCCGCCCGTGTACTATTGATAGCTTACATCAGTTCATAACGTCATAATCCCACACCGTCATAACATCATTGTCCGGTATTCCCCTCATCATGCCGCCCACGGCTCCTCGACCTGTCACCACGCCTGCGCCGACGGTGCCCATCCCTGGGCCTACGGGCGTCGTCTTTGCGTGCCTCCGTCGGCTGTTGCTTCTTCTTCTCCGTTTCCTCCATGGCCACCTGAAACCCCTTCCTCGCGACCTGCTGCCTCACGCTGTTGGGGTGCTTGTGGCCGAGGAACCCGTCGACCAAGGCAGACCCGAGCGATGCCACGGCCACCTTGGCGCCCTTTGCGCCCTTCCATTGTCCCGGGTCGCCGCGGCTGTCCAGCGCGGCCGACAGCCCGGTCGACACGGCCGTGATGGCGCACGTTCGCACAATCGGATTCTGCCACCACTGGGACGCCGTGGCCTGCCACGTCTGGTGCCGAGGCGCCGACGACGACGTGGATTTGCTTCGCCGTGTGCCGCTTCCCTGGGGCATCCTTGCGTGGCGGCTCGGGGAGCCACGGCCGCGCGTCGAGTCTCGGTCGCTCATTCTGTCGTGCGAGCGTGGCCGTCGCGGCCGCTGGCTCCGAGACTCTCCATATGCAGGCTGCGGGCTGCGTGCCTCGTATCCCTCCCGGAAACCTGTGTGATGCCCGCGTTCACGCCCGCGTCCTCTATCCACCTCGGGTCTATGCACCGGCCGTGTCTCGCTGCGGGGGTACGACGGCTCGTAGTGCGGCGGCGGGAGTCGATCATAGACACTGTTCGCTCTGGGAGGGTGGCCGGACGGATGCCAATCCTGCTCCTGCTCATCGGGATAGCTTGCTCCCCGGAAGTGTTGCGGAGGTGGTCCGCTATGACGCCGGCGCCGGGACGACATGGGTGACAAGGATGGTGCATGTGTGTTTTTGAAGAGGGAAAACGGTATGCATTCGCCGGCGGCTCAACATGTATTGAGCTCTGCGAAGGGTGCCAAGCATGTATATAAATTGGAGGGTGTGCATCCTTTTCTTGTCGGCGTGTGGCAAGAATGTTCGTCCTTATCTTGACCGCTACGACGAACACAATCGTTGCCCGTAGAGTAATAGCTATTCCTGGCAGTGAGGACGTGCATCCAAGGGATGTCCGCCACGACTGCTGGGGTGTGACGATCGACCGGCGATCGACGCACGATGACACTTGGTATCCTGTTTTTCAGGGCAACCCGCCGTCCGCTGCGAGACGTACGTCATGCAGTCTGCTTTTTGCAAGGCCGCTGGTGTAAAGCGGTGAAGTGCGCGCCAACGAGAGATTTTTTTATTTCGTACTCTAGATTCCTGTTTGCATTGCCCGAGTGGCCGAGCGACAGTCTGGTGGCATCGCATCTACCGAGGCCGATCGGGCGCACTGGTGCAATACTCTCCTGACATGACGACGCCGGCTGACCAATCATGGGGTCTCTTCTGAGATTATACACCCTAAATACTGCCATATATAACGGATCATTGGTAGCTTTTGGGAGCTAGAGCTTATGCGCGGATATGCTAGTAGTCAAGCTAGATAACGTCTGGTAGATGCCTGTTTCTGCCCTGCCTGTAGAATAAGAAGTAGAGACGGCAGTACTGTTTTTGCACTGTCAGCTCAAGTTTCAGTTAGAATGTAGCCAGATGAGTTCTCTCGAAAAGTTGATGTAATTGTGCATTTGTAATGCAAGAATGTTGAGCATCGCCAGGGCGCAGGAGCGGTCAACTGGTGTGACTCCGCACATGCACGTTGAAGACAGTCAATATGTCATGCTTGGGTCCGAGCCCAAGGCGCATTCCTCTGTGAAACCATGACGAGTGCCCATGCTAGCTCTGCCTGTCATTGGCTTCGGAAATTGGAGGCATGGCACACGGCCGGTTGATCGATCCACGGAGTGCGTGGTCAGGAAGGCCATTACGCAACAGAAAGGAAAGACAGAAATGGAAAAGGCGACCCAACGACAAGACATTGAATTGAATATAACTCATGGACGTGCCTGATGTGAGACCCTTCGCATCACCATGATTGACCATGCTATTCGTGCTCGAGGTAAGGGATGCAGTCAATCTGCCACTCACGGCAATCCCGTGATTCCCGGGTAGGGTACTGGGTTTGGGCGGATGAGGAGCAGATGGCCCTCTACTCTGATAAAGGTATTCGGCGAGATCAGGGACCTGGCTATCGCGCTCCGTGCTACAATATACAGTACATTGGTGCATACTTCTTGGTGGGCTTCTATAGCCTGCCAGACTGTCTGTGCTGAGCCACGCAGGTGACGGTGTGTCGACAATATGCCTAATTCTGTTTGATAGACTCACGAACATGCCCAGAAACTGAAACGCACTTCTCTGTCCGTCTTCTTGGTACCATTTGGACTACTGTGGTGTACCTGCGTTTTGCTGTTTGGTATGGTTCAGTGCGTCGCAAGGCATAATGTGCCATCCCCTGGTGCATGTATATCGTGGACAAACCCCGAGAAGAAGCACAATTGCCATTTTCTAGTAGCAAGTCCTTACTACACTGCATGAGTTTTATGTGACCCAAGACAAACTAACGAAATTTTTCATCCAAATCACTAAATAACCAGTTAGCATCAACTTAGAGCATAATATTAGGGGCTACGGGGATTTCTATGCTTATACCACATGCCACCTTGACCTTATTAGCATCCCGCTTGACTCGCACCGTTCATTACTTTGGCCGGAATTATTCACGCGTTTAATACTTGACAACTGCCATCTCCCGTAAACAGCGGGGAAGCAGGCTGCATGATTCGTCAAATGAAGATGATGCGCCAGCGTTCTTGTTATCCCTGGGCCAGACTTGACATGGGAGCTGTAAAACAGTGCACCCAATCTGCCACTGTAGTCGGGTAGTAGAAGCAGGTTGCTTTGCTTGGTTGACAGAGCGTTCTTACCGTACTCGGCAGACAAGCATCAAGCAATTACAGCCAACCAAGTCAAGTTACTTGGTTGTTGGACACTTATGGGTCCAGACTTGATAAACAGCATCATCGACTGTTGAACGGATAACCCAGACTAACATGTCCATGTGTAAGAGCTCCTATACTTGTAGCATATCTGGATCATCGACGATGCACGTACTACCTGAACATTACGACATCGTGGGCATGAATGACTTGCTCATCAAAGACCGTTAGCTTTCCAGTCTTGGTATCATCTGTGCCAACTTGGGAACAGTGAAGGGAGTCTTTCGTAGCTAAATATGCAAGGCACAGAGACTGCCATGAGATGATTTCTATTCACGGGCAGGGTTGCGGAGCAAGAACAGAAAACAGTCCGGAAGTAAGCATCGAGGATGCTCGCCTACACGATAACTAGTGACTGTAGTATATAGGGACCCCTAAATTTACTTTATAAATAGACTTTAGTTTCTTAGCTTTTAATATAATTATTATATTAACCTAAGCTTTACTTATAACTCTTTAACTCTAATTACCTGGTTACAGTCTATAACCTATCACCAATATAATAACTAATCGCTTAGACTGACCCCCTAGTGTCTCTGCCAACATAAACTACGACTAGTTTATCCCTTGGGAACCTAAGCCGTTACACAAGTGCTTACTACTCTCAATAGCGCTAAAAAGCTCGTGCCCTATCCCGGTATTCCTGGAATATTATCTTAGGAGATAACTATATTAAGCATTAGCGGCGTATACCTTAAAGTGATAGCTACTCCTTGTTAACACTTGCCTGGGGGAGAATATATTAGGTTGGTTTTGTATAGTCCGGATTTTGGCCAGATGAATGGAAAAACTTCTCTGGTGACATGGTGTACATCAAAGAGCCCGCGCCAATCAAGGACAACCGTATCCGACCCGCCACTGCAAATAACAATGGACAGTACGCAAGCTATTCGCCTGATTAGCGATATCAACCCCAAGGTTGTCATCCTCATGCACTGCGATAGCTGGGGCCACTTCTCGGAACACGGTTCACAAGCCGCCAAAGTTTTCGAGACAGACAGTGCCAGGGATAAGATTCGCTGGTTAAAACCAGGAGGAAAAATGCGCATCATCTGATTTCCCGTTCTTCTTGGGCCTTCAATTGTAATGCGGTTGAGTTGCTGATTGTTCTCCCTCGTTGGTCGCCATTCTGGTGTCTCGGGGTGGACAGAGGCAATATCTTGAAGTCGGATTGGATAAACGCATTGAGATAGGAATACCCTTTCTCGCTGATATTTTTGATGACTTTGTTGGAAAAAGTCACGGAATTCAAATCACCGGCTTGCTGAGAGTATTCATATGCAACCTTGCCCGGAAGGCCCAGGGAGGTCGCGCCGAATAGTTTCATTTTTTTTTGAGTAAGGTATTCAACGCTCCTCATTATCAAATTTGACTTTGATCTGATGGCTTCTTGCTGTACTACATTTGCTTCGCCTAATCGCCCTGACCAAATGCCGCCGGAATCCAGTTGGATGGCGTATACCGCACATATGATCCAAAAAGCCCAGTAGTGAGTCAGGCTGTTGGCTACAGTAATATCTGGGTACCAGATATCCTCCGACGCAGGAGGTGCTACAAAATCACGCCCATACGTGGAACTCAAGTTTGCCGAGTACGAGTAACGCCAGCAGTCCAGTCGCCGTATGATATCCAAAAGCTTGTCGATGCAAGCGGAAAAATGGCCGTGCTGCTTTGAAGTAGCCTCCAGCTGGTCTATAGCTTGGAGCAGTGACGGTATGCACGCCCCTATGGACATCAGCTCCTGGAGAGGCTCCGCCGGTGAGGTTTGAAAGGGAATCGTGCACCACTCAGCTGCCTCCAGAAAACACGCCCTGCGGTATAATATAAAACATATGATCTGTTGGAAATATCAGCTTTATGCCCAAACGATACAAGATTGGTGTGTAAAAACTAACCTGTGAAGGGCGACACCCTATAAAGATTCTATGGGATGTCCCGTTGGCGTAATAAGCTGGTCCTCGGGATAGCATCAGACGCGAAATTCCTCCAATGTGAGCTCCGTAACTACCGCATGCAGGCACCATTATCTTTGGGCGACAGTAAGCACGAATCCATGTAGGTACCGCATATCCATGGTCATCATACCTCGGATAAGAATAAAAACATGATTGCGGCTGACAGCTCATCCGGGCCTTCATTCCGACCTCTTGTCAAGGCTTGTTGAAGGGAACTGAGAGCAGTTCCGTGCGCCGCCAAGGCATCAACAATAGGGGCTCCAAGAGGCCTTCTGCAAGTTGTAAGGGCAACTGCAAATGCCTTGATAGAAGACGTGAGTGCGTGACCGTTTGGTCCGGACGTCTTGAGGTCTGGTACCACTTCAATCCAAGAGCCACATACTCTGGATGGAGCTGTGAGACCCTGGCTCTTTGCATTCGTTTCATCGCGCCGGGGTATAAAGTTTTGAACGACCAGCGACAGAATGTCATTCATCGGCCAGGAGAGAGGTTGACCAATACCCGGAGTGGGCAGACGAGGCTCAACGGCGACTTCGGACAATGTAATTCGTTTTCTCCCGGCTGTCCTTCGGCCCGTAGTTTGTGGATCCGCGAATATCAAGTCATATTGATATCCACCACACTCGCGGCTGCTTTTAAGACACTGGGAACAGGATGGCGATCGTCCGTCGCACTAAAACCGGCGCGTCAGTCCAAGGCTGTCTGCGACGGGGATTGAATAGAGGATAACATACAGCAAGCTTCCTTGCTCTACACGTATGACAGATTGTGCGCTGTCTAATCTTCATGATGTATTCGCGATGAGATGCAATCAAATTATTGCTAACGTTGTGGTGGTCGGAAGGGTTGTGACGCGCGACGTGTCCATGGGTAGAAAAGACGATTGAAGGCTTGTGGCAAGCGAGTTGGGAAGTCAAATATCCGCCACGCGGCTCTAGCCCCAGTTTAAGGTCTTACCGGCATCCGGTTCCCAGAGCCGGGGGGAGAAAGCAGAGTGATTTCAAATGTCCTCCATGTGTTGTGCCAGGGAACCCGACCTTGAAGCCCATCTTGACAACGGCCGCTACTGAAGTGGCCCTTTTCCTGGCATATCAAGATAGATCAACTCGCTCACTATACTGCAGACTAATGCCGGGGGACTCGCGACCCTGCTTACTAAGTAATCTGCACCGGGGGAAGAGATTCCGCCGGTCCCGACTCCCCAGCCTCGTCAGGTGATATTGAGTTCAGAACTCAATACTGTTGCCATACTGTATGTACAGTGTACACCCAACTGGTTACTTCAGACCCGAACGTAGCTCAGTAGACTTTGATGTTGGCCCATTGCGGTGGAGGCGAGCATGGCGCACTGCCCAGACAAGGAAAGAATCTGGTCAAATCTGCGGGCTTCAGAGATGCGCCGTCACTCCGACGCTCTTCCCGCCCCTTGAGACGAAGACGATAACATGCCTGCAACTTCTGAAGTTCACCATTTCTTAGTCAGTCTGAACGCGCCTCGCACAAAGTTTGCGATTCGCGCCGAATCGACGGCCGCTCCCCCTCTTTTCTTTTCCCCACGTAAGCTTACTGCGTACGCGGCAACGTGGGAGCCATACTAAGCCTCACGTAGCGCATTACAGAATACTTTTACCTGCAGTTCCGTTTTATGCAAAAGCCCTCTGGGGAGCGATGCGGGTCAATCGGCGCCAAGAGCCATCACTCGAGCAATCTCACAAATATGATCCGGGCCAGATATTCCCCGGCTTGCTCGTTGACGTTGGCGCCCCTCTCCACGAGAAGCTTGACAGGGTCCATGGACCCAGTGCCCACCGCTTCTACGAGAGACACGTCAAAATCCTCCTTTGTCAAATACCTGTTTGTGCCAGGGCCTTCGAAAAGTAGCATGTCCGTGAGCTGGAAAAAGCCCCTCTGGCGGTGTAGCAATGCGGCCGCTGTAGCATGTAACGATTTTTAAGATCTCTTTCGCCCGACCGCGGGCCCTTTGCCACACAAGCATTTCGACATTCATGCGCCGGCTCTTGCTTTCGATAGCCAAGGCGCGCGTGGCCAATCGGGTTAACTCGGCTATCTCAAGTTGCACAGCCCACTCATTGGCTGCGTCGTCTGGCAGCTCCACACTACCATCGCGGTAGTATTGAGTATGATGGTGACCCCTGTCGGAAACGGGAAATTGTTTCGGAGTGCATTTGCCCGAGGACGGGGGCGGGGAGCTGCAGAGCTGACGCCACCGATATTGAGCCAATGGTAGGCCTTCTTTGGCACGCCGGCTTCCCCTACTTGGTTCTGTGTTTTAACTCCTGTGAGGGGTTAGTATGTGGTATCAGAGGGAACTATATCCAGATGGAAGGTTGCATCCGGCCAGTGTCTGCTTTACCTCTGGTACGAAAATAGTCTCATGCGAGCGTGCTGTTGGGCTGTCCCAACTGTTATGTCCAAGGTCGATCATCGCAGGTTCGCACCCTTCAATCGATTTCCGTTCCTGATTATCTCCCATGCGAATGGTTTTGTTGCAGTTGAGAACACATTCTGGAGTTGCAATAGTAATCTCGGTAGAAGCCCCATCGTAACCGAATATACAGGCTCACTCAGACTTGTGCATACTGGGTGGAATGTTCGAGTCAGCTTCAAGACCGAAGTTTGACCTTCCTGGAGTTGCCGGCACCGTGTTACAGCTCTTGTTCTCCAGGAAGTCGCTGATAAAAGGCAGAGTCAGATCTAACTTTTTGTTAATCTGAAAAGAGTCGAATACTCTCTCATAGTCAATCAACAGCGATAAGATTGACTGTAGCTAAACGTAATTATCAACCATGCTTGTCAATATTAAAGACGACCTCTCAGACCAAACAGTTATTTGTAACTTATATCCGAGGGCACAAGACATTTTAAAAACTAAAAATTATGGTTTCTTTAAGCAGAAAATTTGCTCTAGCTAGTATTCAAAGATATTATAGGATACCAATCCTTTCGAACTTACGTGAACGTGCCGCTTGGGATATTTAAGTATTTGAGGCACTAAGTCTCAGGCATAATAGACTTCGATATTCCATATTATACAGATAATTCGAGGATCAGCATCCGCACCTGTGTATTTACATAATGTTTTATAGTAAGAAGGTTTAGATAAGTTTTATAACGCAAAGATAATTGCGATTTAGTTACTTTATTATAGAGTGATAACGCTATCGATACATTGAGTAAAGCTCTGGAGAGTGAAACACACGGAGTCATCCACCGGGAAGTTCCATTTCGGATTGAAATGAGTACCTGGACGGCAAGGTCGGCCTGAAATGTAACGTTGAACCGAAACCACAAATAAAGTTATTGCAAAGTACATTTATACATTTACACTGTAGGCAATAATGGGAGCATGCCGGTTGCACCATCGCTGTTTGGCTTGTCCAACAACCAATCGCAAGCGTAGTAGTGCTGCGGTGGTGTGTGCCGCCAACACGTTTAATCCTTAAGCGCGATGGTGGTGGTGTCGGTGGTGGTTTTTTTTCCTAAGACAGGCATAGACATGTAACAAATCTATCAAGTTGAATGCCCCACGTTGCTATTCGATTCGATAACGTGAGAAGCTGGGCCAGTATTTCTTTACTATATAGGTGCTGTACTATTGTCTATCTAAGATAACGAAGAAAGGAGGAAAATATTCTCGAGGCTCGTCGTGTGGCGGCTTAGGCAAAACCGATCTAATTACACAACGTTAGGCTGCTGTGGCGTCCGAGGCTTCGGCCCGGCAGAGCCTGTGTCCACAGCCCTAGGTATAGCCCGCGACGATACTTAGCAATCTGGAGGTTTGTGACTATACAAATGTTAAGTTCGTAATTAAGTGCTGATTATTGCGCATTACGTCCGACGAACTAGTTGGCGACGAAAGTGAAGTCTGAAAGGCCTCTAGCGAGTTGATTCAACTCGCTAGTCCTTAAGCTGTTTACTATTAAAAAAAAAGAGAAGTTTATACTATAATAGCACTTTATGTCTTCCTAATATACCTCTATAAAAGCTTCTAAAATTAACCTGCTAGGGGAGTTAGTAATAGGCGGCACAGCCGCCGTTCAAGCGGCTTGACCCGTTACAAAGTCGACGTTTAGACCCATAAAAAGGCACATGCTAGCTGCAAACGGTTTAAGAATCCTGAATAGCACCAGGCCAAAGTTCAGTTTGAGGCCCCAATCATTGAGATATCGAAACAAGATTGGTGTTAATCCAGTAACTCTTCAAAAAAGAGATACTTTCGCAAGGAACACAAATGGTTTCAATGGCCTTCTTTCTCTCAATTAAATGAGTAGCCTGGGAGGTTCGATCTACTAGAGACATGCTTCCCCTTAGTGTTTGTGGCTCTGCACGAGTTGGTTGAGAGCATTTAAGGCGACAATAATTATTTAGCTTTATATATATAATTATATATAAATTATAGAAGAAGCCTTTGGGTTTTCCAAGGAGAAAGAGGTAAAAAGTAAAAAGCAAAAATAACTTACTATTCCTCAAACTTCTTAAATTTCCTTGTACACTACTTGCTGTTAGACCTGTTTGCCCCTAGGTAGCACTGGTAGAAAGCGCACCTATAATAGAGAAAGTTTTAGAGTCGAGCTGCTCTATAAGTTCGCGTCGAGGGATAATAGTTCCAAGAAGATAGTCTTCCGACGGAGTGCAAAATAGACCCGAGACAGTGTCTATAACTCTGACGTAGCTGATAATATGGTGAATAATACCACGATAGGCGACTCTAAATGTTTTCTTTAAAACCTGACTGGCCGCATGCTGGCTAAGATCTGGAAGGGAAAATATCAGTTTAGCTAACCTAATATATAAATAAAAAGACTTATTCTGTTCTTCGTTGAGATTATTACTGCAATATGCGGAAAAGGTTTATATTAAAAAAGCTGAAATCTTGCATAGCAATAATTTACCTTGGCAATAAACCCAATCCAGTCCGTCACTCCAGGTTTTAATACCAGATGAATACTCTTCGTAAATAAAAATATTACCGTCCTGGATAATATTATTATACTCTGACCAATGAACTGGCCGAGGGACATGTAAAAGCAATCCACGTAGACTAGCCTCGACAAGGATCAAGGCATCAAATGGAGATGCTACATAGCCTTTCCAGGATGGGGGTATCATCTTGTGTAAAAGAAACAAGGCCCGCGGGAAGAAGAGAAGAAGAGTTCGCCAGCAGTTATCCGTTGAGAACTTATTGAAAGCTGAGTGCACATGTACAGGAACTATGCAGAGCGTATAAACGAAAATGCGGATAGCTTACCGACAGTATTTATCTCTATTTCGTGAAATTGCCGTTGCTAATCTGTAAGGAAATGATGAAACGCGTGTATCCAATCAAAATTAAGCCCCTGATTCTAACATTTTGCCTATTCCCAGTGTGGTGGCATAAGCCGAACTTAGGTCTCCACTGTGGAGCTAATAGGCGCCAAACAGTATCCATTTTTTACGACCGAAATGGTCCAAAACGAGGAGAATATCTTGAGAAGACCCTGGAACAATCTATCAACAATGACGCTAGCCACGGCTCGAAGCTCCAAAACTAGCGCAAAAGCTGAAGGTTGAGTCTGTGTTCGAGTCGTTTCATGGGTGAAATGGCTAGAGTGCGGGTCGGTCAACAACTGCACACAACTGTGACCGTACAAGGACACCAATAAGGTCGAGTGTGACTTGGATAAAGCGATTATTCACAAGGAGAGTAAGAGCTTCCGAAGGAAGTTCTGACTCGAGCTATCTAAGCCCTAAAGTGGGGCCGTTTCTTACAACAACTGCAGGATGGGAT